AAGTCATCTCGACAGACGCATCCAACTCGGGTTGGGGAGCGGTTGCGAGGGCTCACGGCCGCCGGCCAGTGGTCGAGCCACGAGAGTTCCTTACACATAAACTGTCTGGAAATGATCGCGGTCGAGAACGCGCTGCTGTGCTTCCTCCCGCGCATAAACGGTCACCACGTCCTGATTCGCTCCGACAATATGGCCGTGGTATCATACATCAACCGTCAGGCGGCGTCAGATCCAAGAATCTCTTTCATCTGACACGCCGCATCCTATTGTGGTCCCAGAGTCACCTGCTATCGCTCAGAGAGCGACGCACGTGCCGGGCCATCTGAACGACGGTCCAGACAGGCTGTCCAGGAACCTGGTCTCCCCCGGAGAATGGTCCCTGCACACTCAAACAGTCCAAACACTGTGGCGCCTATTCGGCAGAGCGGAGATAGATTCTTTCGCGTCAGAAGAGAACGCTCACTGCCAATATTCTTTTCAAAAGAACGAGGACGCGCTAGCCCAGGATTGCCCGCCGCCCGCTCTATGCTTTTCCCCGATTTCTCTGCTACCGGCAGGTCATTCAGAGAATCAGGGACTCACGCCACTCGGTGCTCCTCATAGCCCCGCGCTGGGAGAATCAGATTTGGTTCCGGAGCTAACGCGGCTGTCACAGACAGCCCCGTGGCCCATTCCAATCAGAGCAGATCTCCTCACTCAAGCCCGCGGCTCGATCTGGCATCCCCATCCACAGCGCTGGGCGCTTCATGCATGGGTGACCAACGACTACGCGTCGAATTGCCAGAAGGGGTTTTGAACACGATCAAACACGCCAGAGCGGATTCTACCAGAAAGCTCTATGCTGCAAAATGGTCTGTGTTCTCCAAATGGTGCACCGACAAGAATTTGGAGACCACGGACGTGCGAGGTTTTCGTCTTTGCTAGTGTTCCTTCAGGAGATGCTGGATAAGGGCAGGTCCCCATCCACTCTTAAGGTTTACGTGGCAGCCGTCGCGGCGTTCGCTGACCCCGGCGCGCCCAGTCTCTGGGCAAAGACGAGCTAATCATCCGCTTCCTCAGGGGAGCCAGAAGGATGAACCCCCTCGCCCCCCTACGGTGCCGGTCTGGGATCTTTCTATAGTTCTAGAAGCTCTGAAAGCCCCACCGTTTGAACCACTTGAGTCCGTGGAGCTAAAATACCTCTCGTTAAAACGTTCTTTCTGACGGCTCTCGCCTCAGAAAAACGTGTGGGGGACATTTCACGCGCTGTCTTCGAGCGCCGCGTGCCTAGAGTTTGGACCGAGTGACTCCATAGTCATTCTAAAGCCTAGACACGGTTATGTTCCAAAAGCGATTGGTACCCCTTTCAGGGCGCAAGTGATCTCTCTATCGGCGCTGCCTGCATCCGATAGCGAACGTGACGCTGACCGCCTCTGCCCGGTTCGGGCTATCAGAGTGTACACTACACGCGTTGCCGCGTTCAGACGCTCGGAGCAGCTGTTTGTGTCGTTCGGTGGCCGCACCAAGGGACTAGCCGCCTCGAAACAGACCTATCCAGGTGGATAGTAGACGCGATTGCCTCTGCTTATGCCGCTAAAGACCTGCCTTGCCCTCTGGGCATCAGGGCTCATTCCACCAGAGGCATGGCCTCATCGTGGGCATGGTCCTGCGGGATTTCCATTCACGACATTTGTGTGGCTGCGGGATGGGCCTCCCCCTCCACCTTTGTCAGATTTTACAACTTGGAAGTTCCAGCCTTACAGGCGAAAAATTCTGGCGGTCTAGTACTCACAGCCCTCCTATAGAAGCCGCACTATCGGGAGTTCCATCACAACCGGCTCACCCCTGTGTTCCCCTATGTGCTTATGCATTAGCCCACACATCACGGCCCGCCTTCGCCGGCCGCCTTGGGCGTTTTTGCACTAGATAGTAACGGCCGCTATGCTGGCCGCCGTATTATCTTCATCCACTTATAGATTCCCCCGGTGTTCCCCTGGGATGCTTAGTGGTTACTTAGCGCGCACGGCGTTGACCAGGTGTTCCGTAGCGTAAGCTAGCTTACGCAATACGAGAGAACCTCTCGTAAGAGAACGAATCGGTTACCTAACGTAACCTCGGTTCTCTCTAGATGAGGGAACGAGTATTGCGTTCCCGGCCGTGCTTGCGCCAATAGCGTTTCGCTTCATGCTACAGAATCAACGAACGAGCTGGGAGAGCGACCTTTATACACTGTAGCCACGCCCCTTTTGGCGGGGCTGTGACGCAGTAAGCGAGCGCCGTCCGCTCATTGGCCGCGGACTCAGCGCCGCTCTCCCATAGGTTCGTGCATTCTCTCTGAGCGAACCAATGAGCCGCTAGCTAGCCCGCTCATGGTCTGCCTCAGAAGAGACTGCGTTGACAATGATTACAAAATTATGGAATAATTTTTTGGCTTCAACTTCTCAGCAAAGATGAATCTTTCCCGTAGCGTAAGCTAGCTTACGCAATACTCGTTCCCTCATCTAGAGAGAACCGAGGTTACGTTAGGTAACCGATTCGATTTCTTTTTACTTAGTCAATGCCCCCATTACTAGCATTATACGCTAAACAGTTTTTAGAGATAAAACTCTTTACATTCGATTATCAAGAAAACAAAACTCAGAGAACGATTGACTAGGTACCGATGTTTTATTAAACCAAAGGTTCATTGTTCGCCGGAGTTCTCCTTTAATGTTTGTTTGAGAGACGTCTCTTACCAATATGTTTTATGATGTTGTTGATGGTCGGCTGAAAAAGCTCATTCATGGCCTCTGTCGAGAATCTCAGCATCCCTTGAGATGACCACTTTATATAATTCATGCTGACAGAAACAACACAAAGTTAAAACATAAACACTCACACTTTCAAAGACATAATTTAGCAAAATAATGTTCTCAGTGAGTCAGACTTACTTGCTCTTGCGTAGGGCGGTCTCCACACTCTGCCCCCGGTGTCGTTTGTAGAAGTCAATGAAAGAGAAGGGCAGTAAGATGTTTAATGAGTTGGCCCGGCCAGGGGCCGCTGTGCGCTTACGGGCTTCAAATGCAATGGTGAGGTCTACCCAAGCTGCTGGACGTTTTGCTTTAAAACTCTCAATGAAGTCAGCCCCAAAGATCTGACACAACATGCCCTCAAATGCAAGATCCACTCCAACTGCTCCATAAGGACCCCCTGAAAGTGAAATATGTATATGAAGAGTTCAGATGCAAAAGCCTCTAAATGCCATTTGAAATTTTCTTCTAGAATGATCATTTTTATCAAGCTTGTATATTTAAGTTCAGTGATTTCACTTAAATGGCAATGATAATTACCTATTAATTGTTATTTAAGTGAAATTACTGAACTTAAATATACAAGTTTGATAAAAATTATCATTAAAGAAGAAAATTTCAAATGGCATTTAGAGGCTTTTGCATCTGAACTCTTCATATGTACCATTTAGGTTTAGGTTACATGCCACACTTGATTTGCATGTTCACCACATTTTTCGTCAGGGTCCTAAACTAAATCCTTTGGAATAACCGTGATCAATCAAGACGACCTTCAGCATCGGATCTTTTTCAGGATTGGAGTCAAATGACAGGACATGGCTAAAGTGAATATTAAGTTTGACCAGCTTTGATTCCATTCCATCATTAGTGATAAACATTTGGGCTGGTAGGATGTGCTCCTGAATTTGTTGGTTTTGGAAAACTTTTAAGTACTAGTTTCCGTTGATAAGAATATAGTTTGCACCCCAACTCCAGAGCACTAAGCCAACCCTTCTCATTCCCTTAAACCAGGGGTGTCCAACCCTGATCTTGGAGGACCACTTTTTTTACAGGGATTAGCTCCAACAAACTAACCTGTAAATTTCTATAGATACTAAAGACATTGATTATCTGGTTCAGGGGTCTTTAATTAGGGCTGGAGTTAAACTCTGGGGAGGCCATTTCAAGTGGTGTTTCAAACAAAAGTGAACTACTGAATCTCTTCACGGTGGGCCCGTCCACAAGTCTGTTTAGTGAAGGGAACATGCAATGGTCACTTCAAGGAAGTAATTTAATTGTTTATGGTCATGTGGCCCAGGGTGACTAGTCCTCGCGATTCATTTTAAATCTAGATATGATAAACAGAAGAATTCAGGTTGTTTTGTTGTGATATATCACAGACATTTTCGTCATGCATTTCATATTGTTTAAAAAAGCATCATAGGTAAGAAGTTTGTTTAATGCCTTATGTGTTTAATGTAACAGTTACACTGTTAAAGAGTTGAAATCTCATGCTAAACATGGCTAAAGTTTCAAAAAACAAGTTGGACTTATGACTTTTTCTGTGCCAAATTCACTCCAGGGTTACGGAAGCCGTCTGCACGGCACGACTCGGCTGGTTTCACAAAGAATCGGTGCAGCGTATTTGTCTTTTATAAATCTGATAAAACTAAAGACTTTTCGGAGATATAAAGGATGCGAGAGTACTCTACTCAAGATTAAAGGAGTAGTTCACTTTTGAAAAAACTTTTGCTGATAATTTATTCACCCCCATGTCATCCAAGATGTCCATCTCATTCTTTCTTCAGTCGAAAAGAAATTAAGGTTTTTTGATGAAAACATTCCAGCATTTCTCTCCATATAATGGACTTCAGTGGGAACCAAACGGTTCAAGGTCCAAAAGACAGTTTCAGTGCAAACTGTTCAAAGGGCTTTAAACGATTCCAGACGATGAATAAGGGTCTCATCAAGCGAATCGAATCCTTGAACCAAGATCATGTCCTAAAATCATGTACAACAGTTATTGAAATAAAAGTCCTATCATTTCACTCTAGTATTGTAGATCTTTGAGCTGAGGATGAAGGAGTTGGTTTTGGTCCTCAACTAACCTGAGGCTTTGTAAAGCTCCTTTAGTGTGCCCTGTGGCTGCTCAATCTGATGCACCGTCAGATCCACCGTCCCACCACCACAGTCTGCCACAATGTACCGATCACCTTCGAAAACACACATGGTTATTTAATCATGACGTTAAACTTTCTCATTACCTGCTTGTTACAGGATTTCCGATGCAATAATAACACCCTGTTCTTACACTGTGGTGTAATAACTCAGTTTCATGGAAAATGGCCTCCTCTTTGTGAATAAGCATGTGTGCACAATTAAGAACAGCACAAGATGTAAAAATGAAGGAGATCTGTATTTTTAGTAGTGTATGAGTTAGATGGCAATAAACTCTCATTCGCTACCCCCCCTCTCTCTCTCTGTCCAGGAAACATCTGTAGCTAAAGATCTGATTATTTTGACCCTGCACCTTGTCATTGTGCCAGTCATGCAGAGAGAGCTGTATGCACACACACTGCAGCCATGCGCTCAAACTGTGCAGCCAGTAATAACACACCAATGATGGCTCCATAATGAGGGTCTCTTACATATATGCACATCAATTAGTCATATAAACAGTATTATATGCACATAAGGAACAAGACAGTGTGGTTAAGAGAAATCATGTTTTAAGATAGGAAGGTTCCATCTTAGATGAAAACTGAAAGAAAAAAAAAGTAGTTCATTACAATACTCTGGAAATTATTTCCCTGGAAAGTTGTTATGGTCTATTTCAGCCCATTCTCATCCCCAAGGCGTCACTTAACTGACGCCTTGGGAAGCATTTGGACATGCTTCAATATCTGACGCTTTCGGCGCCCTTTAGCGTCAGTTAGATGACGCCCTAGGATCGCGTGTACCCTACCCCCACCCCACACCTAAACCTAACCGCGTCCTCTAACTGACGCTTTCCTTTAGCGTCAGTTAGATGACGCCGTAGGATCGCGTCATGTAAGTGACGCTAAAGGGCGCCTAAAAAGGCCAATTTATACTTCTGCGTAGGGTGCGCGCAGTAGGTAAGGCGTAGCATACGCACAGACGCGTCCCATTGCGTGTACCCTTCGCCGTCGCCTGACGCGCACCTCCTCAAAAATGTAACTACACGTCGCGACGACGCGGACCGCAAGATCGGTGATTGGTCGGCTTGGTAGCATCGCATTTCCTCCTATGCATTTCCATCACTGTCTATGATTTCCACACATACCATCTCCTCCGACGTCTTCTCTCATTTCTGCCTTTCAGTTTTAGTAATTTCACTAAAGTGAACTGTTTTTCCACCTCAATAAGCTCCAACTCCAACATGATCCACTCTCTTTCAATATTGCTTGTAGTAACCTAGCCGCGAGGAATCTAAACACAGTGGAACATTAAAACTCTCCGCCGCTAACTAGAGTTTCGGAGCAGTACTGCAGAGCAACAAGACCTGAACGCAGAAGTATAAATGCTCATAACGGCGTCGCCTACGTGCGTAGCCAACGCCGCACATTACGGCGTACCCTCGACGCAGAAGTATAAATTAGCCTTTAAAGCCGGATTCACATATAGCGCCTAAAAACGCATAGAAAACGCTGGGCGCGCCGCATTCTCCATTTTCCAAAGCGCCAGGGCGGTTGCGCTTCAGTTCCCAGACAGCAAACTGACATTGAATCAACGTGGAAACGACGTCTCTCATGACATTGAAACAACGTTGATTTTGCTCATCGAATTAACGTTGAACCAACGTCAGACGCGGCATTCTTCAAAGCTAAATGAAAATCGAAAATTGGTTTGCTTTCATAACGTTGAAACAACGCGTTGATTTCAAGTTGATTTTCCGTTAGTTTTGAAAGAATGACGCGTCTGACGTTGGTTCAACGTTAATTCGATGAGCAAAACAATGTCAGATCAACGTTGTTTTCGCGTCGCACCGCGACCGCATCGCTTCCATTATGAGCGCGAATACCGCGCGCCTACATTTGAAATAACGAACTTGAGCGCGCAAAAGACGCGATATGTGAACCGGCCCTAAAACATCAAATATTGAAGCATGGTCAAAGGTGACGCCTTGGGGTGAGAATGCGTTGTCTATTTGTGGTTTCTTGTATTATAATCAAAGAATCACACAAAAAAGACATCCATATCTTTATTAAAGCATGTTCATGTTTAGTTTGTTACAGTGTCAGCACTCTATATGGCCAACTCAACAGGATGTTAGTTTCCAATATACTTTGTGTTTCTGAGGACAAAATCACTATGTAATATATGTATTTATTGCCGCCATTGCCATTCCATTATATGTCCTAAATAAATGTGTCTCCATTTCTTACCTGTCTGCATCTCAGACCACAATTCTCCAGTACCACTCTCCACCAGAAAAGTTCGGCTATGTCTGGCTCTGCGGAGCTGCTCACGGGCTGAAAGAAACATTGACTTCCTTTAGTCTATGAATCACTCACACATGGGTAGCATTAATCAAAGCCTTATCAGAATCAATACAACTCACGGAGAGAACAAAAGAGAAAGGAAGAGAGTGTATATACCTGGATCAATAATGGCAGCCTGCTAAGCTGACCTTTATTTAATTAACCTAAAGCATTATTAGTAAAACATGCCTTTGAGATTGTGAGCAGCTTGTTTCATGGCTGCAGTTTTGGGTGCTTTTAGTGAATAATGACCTGCTAAACTAAGAATGATCTGCTTCATTTTCGGGGTCACTACGGCTATTCTGACTGCCATATTTCCTGAGGAACTCTTTTTATTGAATGCATTACTTCAAACATTTTCTTTTCAGGTAAAGTCTGTGAACACTAGAGAATACAGACACGCTGCTGAACATTCCAACAGCAAACACACAGAGAAGAGAAACTTCACTGCACTTTGGGGACAATCTGGAAACAATATGAAACTGCATTTGAAACAAAGAGGAAAAAGTACAAATAAACTGATTTGAACTTTAATTACTCTTAAATCCATGTGGTTTCGGAAGAACAGCTGGACGGTGATTGATGATGTGTATATTGTCTTAAGAAGATGAGAGGACAGACAATGATGGATTAAATCTATTTGGACTAGTTTCTACCCCACACGTTTGACTGGAAGAAACTCTTTTAAAACCGACTTCTCACACTCGATTCACTAGTTTATTTAATGTTTCAGTTAACTATGTTCAACACTATACGTATTACGTACATGGATCACATGAGAATTCTGTTGTAATTATCATTTTAGTTGTCACAATTGTCAAGTCATGAACATTAATTATAGTTTTAAGGTAAGTCAATAGTTATTAAGACTGGAAGTTTCAGTACGTGACGAGTAAAACAACAAAACCGTATGCATTATGTATGTTTTGGAACATACATACGCTCACTTCCCTTTGGGGAAGCTCATGGGGTGAGCTCATGGTTCGCAGCACCTTGTTTCAATTATAATTTGAAATGTGTGTGTATAAGTGTAAGTATATTTTGTTTGAGCGTAAAAGCAGGAATGAATGATAGTGTCTACGGTGCCTTATTTTGTGTTATGTAAATGTGAAAAGTGTGTTTGTAAAAGAACCCCATTTCTCTTTTTTCAAGCAGTGATAACAAAAACATTGTCAATCTTTCAAAGAGGTTTTTTTTTTTTCAGCTCTGTGACCTCAGGGGACACTCTAACCTACGGGAAAATGTCATCTCGTTCTTGCTGTCTAAATCCAAACCATATGATCTCATAGTCACAAAGATCCACTTGGTTCTGGATCAATCGGACCCCGATCTAAATGTCCGCAATGCATGCACCCGCAAATAACCACACAAAACAAAAACAGCACTCTTTTTTCAAAGGGATGAAAGACAGTCCTGTATTCCCTATGCTTTAAGCATGGTTCCCATTTAAAGTTTATAGAGAAATGTGATACACTCAAAGCAAGAGGTTTGGACTCCTTCCCAGGTTCAATCTGAGAGCGAGTGATACTGTATAATGCTAATTGGTTTAGAAGAAGAGAAAAAAAAACATTCTTACCCTGCCTAAAACTGGAATCGAAAGGGCGGGAGCCGTCTACATCTAAACCATTGGTTACTGGACGTTGGCTGAGGTCAATGACCTGGTGTAGACGGAGCTTCCTGCAGTAGATGGATGCAGCCTCCGGTTCAAGAGCGATGAGGAGCTGTTCAGGAGAATCTGGAGCCACCAAACCTGCCTACAATAAGATACACAACATAAGCCTTATTTAATATTGAGTAGTATACACTTATCAGCAGTTTTTAGGCAACACACAGAGTTGTGTTTAGTTCCTGCGAGAATAAGCATTTTAAACAAATCAGTTAAGTTCATATTTAAATGACTCACTTGTATAGACAGCCACTTGTTTTATTCCTGAATGAATAAGTGAAGAGTTCATTCAAGTGCCATTTGAAATTTTCTTCTAGAAAGAATATGTATCATTTTTATCAAGCTTGTATATTTAAGTTCAGTAATTTCACTTAAATGGCAATGAAGATTACCTATTAATTGTCATTTAAGTGAAATTACTGAACTTAAATATACAAGCTTGATAAAAATGGTCATTTTAGAAGAAAATTTCAAATGGCATTTAGAGGCTTTTGCATCTGAACTCTTCAAGTATTTTAAATGAACTCATTGAGTGAACAATTCAGTGTCTCACTCATAGAGTTATTTGTTTGGTTCCTGAATGAATCCATTTTTGAACAAATCAGTTTAATGAATGATTCAATGACTCTCGAATAGACAGTCATTTGTTTTGTTCTTGAATAAATTCATGTTTTGAATGAATCAGTGAATAATTGAAAAATTCACTCATAAAGACACTTGTTAGGAAACCCCTTGAAAGCTGGAAAGTCTGGAGTAGGGCCGGACCGTGGCATAGGCGACATGCTGCAAAATGACAGGGGGGCGAAGCAACCTCAAAATAAAAGCAAGAGCACCCACATTTGATACTGTAATAATATCATATTGGCGAAACGGATTTGACAAAGGCTCCAGTGCGAATTTGTGTTTGTGTTTTGGAGAGCGCCAAAGGGAATCCAGTGCTGAACTTTTTAGTGCTCACTCCGAGCCTCACTTGCAAATCCTCTCATTATAACAAACAAAGTGTAGACACAATGTAAGTAACAGATTAATTGTGCAGTGTAGACAGCCTCAATGATTATAATGGAACTTTGTGACCACATTAAACTGAGATGAGTGGTACCTTTTTAGTGATTTTTCTGCCAATTAATAGTACTTAAAATTGCATTATGTTTACATAACAATGTTGTACGACAACAATATGTTGGACTGATTTAAACACTGCCTGCGTTATGATGTAATTCTTATACATCAGAATAATCTGTTAATTATGCATTGTAACCCCTCCTCCCAGGTCCCACTCGACCCGCTCCGAGCTTAAAATACTTAAAATTGCGTTGTTTACATAATGGCGTGAGAGTCGGGCGCTCTAACAAGGAGGCTAAAGACTGCAGACTCTAGCGTCTGTCGCTAGAGCGCCTATAGGCTATATGCCGTCTGTCACGTGACCAAACCGGAAAACGGGTCTCATCGCATCCGCTTGTCAGAGAAAGCGTTAACGGCCGTATGAACTGACTACGATATCTATGGATTTTTAAGGTAAACAGCTAACCAGTGTTGTAGTCGAGTCCACCTCACTCGAGTCTGAGTCGACACCGAGACCAGAGAGAGTCGAGTCCGAGTCGAGTCCGAGACCAGAGACGGTCGAGTCCGAGTCGAGACCGAGACCAGTGAGGGTTGATTACCTAATTTACTTTTATTTACTTAGAGAAATCCTTTTTTTTTTTTTTTTTACTGAATTTACTTAGTTTTAAAAATATGATCAGTTTAGGGTAAAAAGGCCACATAGTAGGTGGTGTTAAAAGTAATTTTATTACAATTTGTCATGAGCAGTTGCGCACTAGAAAATCACCAATCACTGGGCGTTTCAATCAATTTAAAGAAATATTTTATTAACATACATTAATAATCATGAAAAATATTTTTAATTGAACTCGAGTGGACTCGGGAATAATTCCGAGTCCTAAAAAAAAAAAATGTTCGAGTACGAGTCAATTCCGAGTCCAAATGGACACGAGTCCATGACAAGACCAAGACCATTAAAATATGGTCTCGAGACCGAGTCCGAGACGATCCGAGTCTCGAGTACTACAACACTGCCCTAGCTAGCATCAATTAACATATTTTATGAGCATGCACTGCTCAAATTATTTTCAGAAAACTTAATGTAAACAAAATGTTTCTACAAAATATAAATGCCATGTTTAATGTATAATGAGCACTGATATATTGAGAAAGTGTCAGTACACTGCCCCGGTTGGTCATGGAGTTATGATAGGAGGTGGTGGGCTGCCTCGTTCCCCCTCTCTTGCTTAGCTGGGACAGGCGTGGTTTCCTGTGTTTGTGTGCTGGTCTCTTGCATTGTTTAACCTCTGTGACATTGCAAACTGCAAAGAGGAAATTAACCTCAACCTGCCTTACCTCTAGTAAGGTAGTGAGAGAGAAAGATCCAGGGCTACTAGAAAAAGTACAGGTTTAATATGTAGAGTTGTTGGCTGGTTTAGGTATAACTGTGGGGGGATTTCAGTGGTCTTTGAATCTGAGCAGCTGGTAGTGATCCAATCAACAGTCTTTGTTCTTTAAAAGCGATCTCTGCACTGTTGATTGTTGTATGTAAAAAGAAACTCTGTGATTGATTTCTTAGTGGTTTGCTCATAGGGAAATGAACAAGTCTGCAATACTTACATTTCACGCACAAATATTTAATGGATATCAGGTTATAGTCCCCTCTTGGCACACTATTTCTCTCCACTCATACAAAAGTCTTTCAACATGTACTGTATGTGTGCACTGTGCAGTGACTATTGCATTCCTTTTCATATACGCACATTTCCTGAACTGCACTTGGGGGGTTAAGGACATCACATTCAAAGTGGGAGTGTGCATTTGTGTATGTATGCATGAGAGAAGAGAGAAAGAGAAAGAAAAAGAGAAAGAGAAAGAAAAAGGAAGAGAAAGAAAGAGAAAGTGTGTGTATTTGATTGGTCACACTTTATAGTTAATGACCCAATTCTCACTATTAAAGGATTAGTTCACTTCTAAAAAAACTTTTGCTGATAATTTACTCACCCCATGTCATCCAAGATGTCCATGTCTTTAAGGTTTTAGATGAAAACATTCCAGGATTTTTCTCCATATAATGCACTTCAGTGGGAACCAAACGGTTCAAGGTCCAAAAGACAGTTTGGGTGCAAACTGCAAACTCTTCAAAGGGCTTTAACCGATTTCAGACGATGAATAAGGGTTTTATCAAGCAAAATGATTGCTCATTTAAAAAAAAATAACAAAGTTTAAGTTTCATAAGCTCAAATAGTCGCCTTGCTCTGTTCTGTGACGCACGTTCGTGACTCCTGTTCGAACTCGATTATCAAAATGAATAAATCTTTTTTCGTGTCATTTGGTTCATTCAATGAACGAAATGAACGAGTTGATTTGGGAAAAGATTCGTTCATTTTGATGAACGAGTTCGAACAGGAGAGTCACGAACGCGCGTCACAGAACAGAGCAAGGCGACCATTTGAGCTTATAAAACTTATAAAACTTTGTTATTATTTATTAAATGAACGACCGTTTTGCTTGATAAGACCCTTATTCATCGTCTGGAATCATGTAAAGCCCTTCAAACAGTTTGCACTGAAACTGTCTTTTGGACCTTGAACCATTTGGTACCCATTGAAGTCCATTATATGGAGAAAAATCATGGAATATTTTCATCAAAAACCTTAATTTCTTTTTGACTGAAGAAAGAAAGACATGGATATCTTGGGTGACATGGGGGTGAGTAAATTATCAGCAAAAGTTTTTTCAAAAGTGAACTACTCCTTTAACAAATTAGTAGTAACTTTGACTTAATTGACTTTTGCGGAAATGGGCTTGCAGAATAAGGCATTGATATGTGCTTAATAAGTACTAATAAACAGGCAATATCTTAGTAACATGACAATAAGCAACTATAGTTTAAAGTGAGAATTTAACTCTAAACTAAAGTGTTACTATATTTGATTATGTGTAATTTTTCATATATGTTTTTTTCATTTTTCATAAACTGATCTCAGATCACTTATGCTACATTACCAAATAGGCAGCTTCTCGCATGAACTGCTTGGCTGGCTGCCGCCACACCGCAGGAACAGTGATGACCCATCGTACTTCAGTACTTTCCAGCACAGAGGAGGACTGGTCCTTCACCTCCTGAAAAGCACACACACACGCACACACACATTACTACATTTACATACATCTCTTATCCAAACTATCTTCCACAGATAACATTTTCATACTTCTATTAGTTATTGATATCCCTTATTTCCGTTCCCCTCTAAAATGAACCATGATGTGCCAGACTCAAGACACTCAGGATGCATGGCCTGAGGAAGAAATCTCCATGCTAGTGTTTTCCCACAAGCCTTCAGGGGCTCCAGGAAACAGGAGGAAGAAGGTTTGGGTCCAGCCAAGACTGACTACAGATTAGCCCAGAACCTCCACCTCCCCTGACCCCCACTGTTCACAGAGACTGGATGTGCTCTTGTTTGAGTAAAGGAAAAGTACGTCCTGAAAGATTTGGACCAAGATACATTTCCCTATGAGCACTGCTCTACATTACACTGGTGGTTCATGTTCAGTCTGGCCCTAGATTTATATTGTACAATAAAATAGGCCACAAATGCCTAAATAAGTGAAAGAATAACCAAGTAACAGTAACACCACTGGAAAAATGTGTTTCACAGATTTAAATTTTTGGTTACACTTTATTTCGATAGTCACTTTAGACGTTCTACTAATTTTAAGTAACTTTTCAACTACATGTAAACTAACTGTCATTAGAGTATTAGTAAATTATAGTAGACTGCCAGTAGACTGTTAGGTTATGGTTAGGTGTTAGGCTTTGGGTTAGTAGAATAAGTTGACTTGTAGTCGCCAAGTTACTTATAGTCAGTTATAAAACAGTTAGTTTGAATCCTTGATTCTGATTGGTCAAGAGCTGCGCTTTATTCACGATAAAACACGGCTATGACCGCTTCACCCAACGGTTCTACTGATCTCTGCGCAACACTGCGGTTCTATGTTGTTTTTATTTGAGCTTTCATGCATTTTACACATTGGAACGTTGTTGCTGTTCACTCTCAGGGACTATTTTTTCTAGCGGAAAGAAGGCTTTTAGTGATTTTACTTCAAGAAAGTTGCACTACTACATTGTTTTTTACTTTAATATTGTGTGGCAACCGTTTTACAAAAGCAATAAGGTACTCGAGGCAAGTGCTGAATGGGCTGAAGGGGTTGCAGACAACGCCCTTGAGCCATTACTTATTCACGATACAGCACAGCCTCTCGTACCTTATTGCTTACTTGAATGTCTGTTGGGGGACCAAAAAAATAAAGTGTTAGCAGATATTAAGCTGACAGTATGCTAATACTCTAATGACAGTTAGTTGACATGTAGTTGCAAAGTTACTTTTAGCTAGTAGAATGTCTAAAGTGGACTATCGAAATAAAGTGTTTCCAAATTTTCAAATAATTAGTAAGTCAAATACAAAAAAAGTTAAGTACAAAGAAAGTATATATATTATTAATAAAAAAATAAAATAAAAAAAATATATTTTCAGAAATTCTATAGCCAATATCCATCCATTCTCTAAAACCATGTGTCCTATGTTGGGTCATGGGTATGTTAGTGTTCATACCATCATGTTGGGCAGAAGGCTAATTTTTTCATATAAGTTGGGTAACACTTTAGAATAAATCATATAGGTAACTATGCAAGAAGTAATGCAGGATAATAAGGAAGTAAGCTTATCTAATCATTCAATAATATCACATTTAGGACCGGGATAGTTCCTTATTAGGTAATCAATAACTACTGAATAAGATTAGCCTCATTTATAACTTTCAACTAACTAACTATGACAAATTGTAAAGAATTACCAATTCATTGTTAATTACTCTGTAGGAAATATTAGTGAAGTGGACCATTATTCAAAACATTTATTTTCCCACATATGTATAAATCAACGCATTCTCACCCCAAGGCGTCACCTTTGACCATGCTTCAATATTTGACGTTTTAGGCGCCCTTTAGCGTCACTTACATGACGCGATCCTACGGCGTCATCTAACTGACGCTAAAGGAAAGCGTCAGTTAGAGGACGCGGTTAGGTTTAGGTGTGGGGTGGGGGTAGGGTACACGCGATCCTAGGGCGTCATCTAACTGACGCTAAAGGGCGCCTAAAAGCGTCAGATATTGAAGCATGTCCAAATGCTTCCCAATGCGTCAGTAAGGTGACGCCTTGGGAGTGAGAATGGGCTGTATAAATAGGTCCAGATCACCAGTAGCTCTTAAAGAGAGACTATGAAACAATTAGTGATGCATTTTATAACAATATTCAGAGTAAAATAGACAACTGAATACATCTCAGACATGTTAATGTTGTGATTTGTAATTAATTGGTAATTCTTTATAATTTTTCCAACACAGTCTCATGAAAATGCGTATCTATACCACGAATGTCATTTCTCGTGGCATTTATACCCCCAAAATGGTTTTTGCGTGCTTATGCTACGAACTAAAAAACCCTGGGGTAGGTTTAGGGGGGAGGGGTGTGGGGAGTTCGTGCGTATTATACGCCAAAAATTGCGTATCATATGCACGCGAAAAAAGCGTACCATATACACACAAAAACATTTTTTGCCGTATAAATGCCACGAGAAATGACATTCGTGCTATAGATACGAACTTTCATGAGATCGGGCTCAATTTTTCATAGTTATTTGAAAGTTATTACTCTAATTTCATTCAGTAATTATTTATTTCCTAATAAGGAACTTACTCCTAAATTTTCCTTGAAATTACTAACTGATTAGTTAAGCTTGTTTCCTTATTAGTTAATAGTAGCTCCTACTTATTTTGTCGCTGGAGGAGTACCCTTATAAGATGTTTGTGTGTGTGTTCACCTTTAAAGCATGTTCTCTGAAGAATCTCAAGGCATGAGAAAACACCTCAATGGCCCGAACTCTTCTTCCACTTACTGACTCCAGCTCAGTCTCCATAGTTAGATCCTATAGATAAGCAAGAAAGTCTGCTGCAGAAATGTGTCATAAATAATCCACTCCCCGTATGCTTTGCTTCAGACAGAGAGTAGATCTAGCTTCTTCTATTTAAGACAGTGTTGTGATACCTTATCAACAATGCATCAGCTTGATGCCCCTAAGCTGAGCACTTACTCTAGCTGAATAAATTCTACTATAAAAAAAAGTCAATAAATGGTAGATTTTGTGTTTACACTGGTGCTGTGGATTTTCATTTTGAATTTGTCAAAGTAGAGCCAATGCCCGGCCTCCTCTGGGTCAAGGTCATGGTAGCTGTCTCGAGCTGCAAAGCCAAAACTGTGGAACCGGAGGTCAGGGGTCAACAGCAGACAGGTTGGACTCTTCTGATTGGCTACACCAGGGTCACCACCCTCCCACCGCCTGTTAGAAAAACAAGAAGAAATCTCGGGTAAGAAATGGGCGGGGGGAGTTATACGAACTTATAATAAGTTCAGGTTACAGATCAATAGATAAATACTTCATCATGTGAATGGTCTCAGGATCTTCTGTGAAACTGAAGGCATAGCCACTGGAGGTGGTGCCAAAATCTATGGCGACCACCACAGAAAATGGACGAGCCACACACGGTCTCAATTCTGCTCTCTACAGAGAGAAAGAAGGAAAAAAACAAACAAACAAGGTAGACAGAAAGAAAATAAATCTATTGCCTTATAATATTTTCAGAATGGGTGACTTTACAAAAACAATTCTCCCTGGTACGGAGAGTAACTGACTCCACTTTCTCCCTCGCTCCTCTTATCTCTAGATCATTTCCCTGACCTGAGTGTTACATTGACTAAACACATCAGAAGGGAGTGGATCATGTATCACTTTCAGCTTATGTTCATGCCAGTATTTTTTGGTCCATTTAAAGGTGATTCAAGCATGTGTTTAAAAACGTGAGACTCGGGACAGGGGAACGAAAAAAGGCAGGTTTATAGAAGCATTTATAATGATGTGTCATGAGCAAAGAGCCACAAGACACAAGTACAACGGGCAAACACGCACGTCTAAAACGAAAAAGGGTAGAGCAGTGGAATGAAAAAAAAAATAAGACAACATTCACATCGAATACGATTTTGCGCTTAAATATGCGAGACGCACAACAATGGAATGAAAAAATGCAAGGTCTGTTTGTTTTTTTAAGGAGAAGTTGATCTTATGTTTTAGACATGAACAAGAAAAACATCAAAAAATATGGATAGCAGAGTACATGCACACATGTAAGTCCTCAAGTGTATTAAGTGTGCCATTTGGGACAGGGTCATTGGCTTAACCAATGGCATGAGTTTGAGGCAAGTCTATTTGTTTGTCCAACCAATGGCCTTAAAATTATTTTTGCAATTCCATTTTGTGACACTAGTGGTGCTGAAATGACAAACTTCACCTTTAAGTGATTAAAGTCGGCTTTCGGAGGAAACATTTTTGTGTGACCACAGATTGCAGTGCACTTTAACTGGAGGATGAACTAATGATAGTGCTGTTTTCAACCAACTGACTGAATGCTAAGTAAAGAAGCATAATTGCATATTTCTGGTGGGACCACATCCTCTTTCAACATTACTGTAGTTTGAAACATCTAATTTTTGGGCATTTAACGCAAATTTATCAAATTTGTAACAACCATTTATCAAATGTATCATTTATTGGGCATTTTATCAAATTTATCAGGACTCTGTTTGTCATGATCTTACCGGAGAGAGAGAGGGAGTAAGTGGAGTGATACTGCACTCATTCCTGGAAGGAGATGGAGAACCAGATGGAGATGTAGAGGCTGATCTGTCTTCACCTGAAAAAGGCAAGACAAGATGAAAAGATTGATTGAGGGATAAAGGGAGAAAGTTGCTCATGCATTGAACTCGAAAAAACAAGGACAGGACTCCTTGTATGTAATAACACCGGAGTGGCTGAGCAATTGAAAGAATTCAAGAATTTCTGGAAAGTTCCATATTGGTGGCCTGAGCTTTTAAGCCCAACATCAGAATTTCCAATGGATGGTTTTGTTAGGAAAAATTCTGTCACCTTGTATGCTGAATAACCTTATTCCTTTATAAAAGAAATAGATTTAACCTAAATTTCAGAAGTTTTTAAAGCTGCAATGAAACAAAAGTAGTGACTGCCTAACCCTGTCGGGTTACTAAACCTGAATCGACCTCTAAACCTAACCTAAATCCATGTAGTTACCTTCAATTTCCAGTGCTTTCATAGGTAAGTAAAATAAAGTGCAACTGATCGTTTCCTCTGTATTATGATCTATATGTTTCGAAGTGAAACGGCTTATTAAAAAAAGAAAAAAGTAGGGCAGGGACTTATAACATTTTCTTATAACATCTCCTAGTCGCTTGTGGACTTATGCCACTATTATATCATCAGAAAGAAGTTTCATCGGAAGATCGAGTTGACATTTTGATTCAAAAATGACAATGAAACATTCACAGGCACGAATAATTTACAATCAGATCATTAACATTTTTAGAAGATAGATGATCATTATTTCAAATACATTTGAAAGCTATTTTCTGTCCTTTCTGTAACACAGGAGTTGTATGTGTTCTCTTCAACAGTGTCATCATGTGCACTCAGTATTAACACTTTGATTTGTGGTGTCTCATTTGTGGCAACACCGGCAGCAAGGAATTTCAGGAGCAGAATTCCCAACATTCCATAATTCCTAACACGGTCACAAGTGTGCGTATGACATTTTTCCAGGTCAAAATGAATTCCATGGCAAGTGCTATCAACATGGATTGAGCTCTTCCAGCAAGGTCACTCTAATATGTTTTCAAACATGGGTGGAATTCACTCAAGAGTATGACAGGAATGTTATCGACATGTACAGATATTCTCAAGAGTGCAGAGCGTAGATAAGAAAGGGTCACACCCCAGTCCAGTATTGTTGATGGCTTAGACAGGAATTACAGCATAATTCCTGTGGAAATGTGTGGATGATCACAGATTTTAATTCAGGTTTGCATTTTGGACATGTATATCAATTCTGGTTGTATACAGCAAAAGTAACTATTATAACCTGATTATTACACAGATATTATTATGATTTGTTCACCCAAGTCTTAATTTTAAGGAAATGTTACCTGGCGCTTGTGGACTGTTGGTACTGAGCTGCAGGACGTCTGTCATTGTAGAGGTCCCAGGGCTTTACAGCATAACAGGGAAAGAAGAGCTCTGAAACGTGAAGTAGAGTTTAATTATAAATATTTGACCATTTTTCTTTCATGATGTAAAATGGTATATAGACTCAAGATAAATTTACATTTTAAATTACATTCAAATAAAAAATGCATTGTAGATATTTATAAAAATGATGTTGATGATGATAAATAAGTACATGAATTCAATGTGATTTTACATTCTGGGGTCAGTATAAATATTTTTCAAAAGAATCATAAGAAATCAACATGAATACATCTTAGATTGCATTACTTAGAATGTGGCACATGTTTTAAAGATTTTGTCATTGACCTTCATAGGTCACTACAAATCTACATTTTTTGCCTCTCTCTTTCTGAAACCTTTTAAGATGTCCCAGCTGCGGCAACAAAAGCCTGACATGATTGTGTTAGTGGGTGTATTAATCATGCTGCATGTTTCCCAAAGCTGGTTGGGCTCTGATTTCAGACTAAATGATCTGAAACGGGAAAAATGTGTTAAGCAAATGCCGTTAAATGCTAGTCCGATATCACTATATCAGTACTATAAGTACTACAGTTCTGTTTATTTTACAAAACAATGAATTTCTTGTATCTGATGAACACAGAGGGAAAAATGAATATGGTGCTTTCTGAAATTCAACCTCATGTCCCCCTACCCCCAAAGTGTTCCCCTTTCCCCCTATTTTCCCCATGCCTCTTGCCTTAATCTTTTCTTTGGACTCGTTCCCGTTTTCTTTTTCTTCCACTGTTACTTTCAAACTCTTTGTAGATGTAGGGTTTGAGGGAAGCTATCCCTTAACTGTGTGTGTGTGTGTGCGTGTGTGTTTGCGTGTGGATGCATGTATGCTCTGGAGAGAAAAAAAGGTTTTTGCAAAAGGAGAAAAGGTGGAGAGGGAGAGGTGAGGGCCTCCCACAATACATGTTTAGTAAATGGATCTGACTGGAATATACTCTCCAGATGCTTAAATCTGATATGTACCACATTTGGCACAGAACACTTTATATAGAATATATAGGCCTAGATCAAACTTGCAAACCTTTCCACAACAAAGAAGATTTTTCAGAAATGTTCTTTAGCAGAAAATGTAAGACATTTGTAAAATTAAAAAGTAAAAACTTTGACATTTTAAGAACCCACTGAACTTGATTGCCTTTGAATATGATTTATCACTGCCTGTCCATATGGTTTCAGACACACTTCATACAGATTACAAATGACATCACAGTGACTTTCTGGCAATGAGGCTGAGTCTTTAATCAAAGAAGTGTTTCTTTATGTTTTTCTACCTGTTTTGCACTGGTTGTTTGTATAATTTACAGCATTCACTTATAAAGTTGTGCACTTCAGCAATAAGAAAACTGTGTCTTAGGATATAATATATCATTTGATTTAAGGTTTTTGTATGTCTAGTCTTTTTACCATCACCTTTATTATGAACTTTATCATGATTCATTATGAATATAAAGCTTATGTCTGCTCCAGTGAGACATTTCAGTTGTTTAACTTGTGAATAGTCCCTCTTTATATTTCACCATCCATCAGCAGTTTGCACATTGTCGACTGCCACTGAAAATGATTTGTACCTTTGTTTGTTAAAACCACAAACACACATCTTGTTTCCTCTGAGAGTTTTCTAGGAAAATCTTCCAATTAATTTCCACCCAAGGGGCTACTTGTGACACAGCGACACTTTGCAGAAGCTGAGGTCAAGCATGATGAATTACCGAGCCCTTTCCCACTACAATTATAGTCATTTTGGAGGATGTGCAAAGTCATATTTCAATGTCTGTTAGGTAATTATGGTCAGCATGTCCACTAGAGTCCCATTTGTCTTTTTATGTTCTTTTGGCATCATTAAGTCACCCATCGCTCTTGAAAACGCCCGACAATCCCACTCCTGTCAGTCATCACAGCACACAAACAAAACAAAGGACTGCACCTGATGCTGGTCCTATGAAGCATTTCACTCTTTAGCATGTTAAATTTGTACTCACCCTTTTGTTTAGAATGGTGTCCCCTGCCTGGGGTTGTTTAGTCCCTGATCGAAGTTCACAATCCCAAAAGGAATTGGATGTTTCAGTAGCAGAGTCTATGTAATGATGCTGAAATTTCAGACAAATGTCTGAGAGAAGAAAAGCACTAAAGATCTAAAGTTGAAAAAAGTTTTAAAAGTGATCAGATCCAAAGAATATTCCACTGACTTTCTCTGTTTCTGTATCCCAGCAGTCAATCCGTCATCTGCAGTGGAATGTCAGGGAGGGATGGTTGAGAGCCGCTCATACACACACACACACACATGTAGGGGCTGGATATGAAGGTTTCTGTAGTGAAGGGGGAAAGGGAGGGGAACTGACTTCATACTGACACAGATTCAATCACTGTGTACCGGTGTGTTTGTTGGAGTGAGAGAGAGAAAGAGAGAGAGAGAGAGAGAGAGGTGGAGAGTATTTGGAGTGGCAGCGAGCACTGATTAAGTCATCCGATCCCCCCTCCCAATGTTTCCCCTCTTTTCCTTCTGCCCACCCCCTGCATCCAACTCTTTCTTTCCTTTCAGCTTCTCTTCCAGCTCGATCTTTTTTCTTGTCTTTCCTGTCTTCTCTTCACTCTGTGTTTCCTTTCTCTCTCTAACAAAGCTTAAAACTAGAACAGTAAAACAGTTTTAAACTATACATGCATACAAACAAATGCATTTTAGTTAATCGATGTTGCATTAGTTTGACCTGCTTATTGTAAATGTTCATGAATTCTCATATGAGCTCTCATTTTTAACAAATGAACCTCTGCACAAACAGAACTACAGTTTTGCTTATACACATAAGTCGAGGCCATGGTTCTGGTGTGCATGGGTGGTTTGTGTGGTGTGTCTATATTTGCTTAGGTGTTATGAGTGGTTTAGCCTGAGATGTGGTGGTTGTGATGGTTAGGGTATTCTAAGCATAGATATCATACGGTATGATTGTAATCCAGACATACTAGACCTGCCATGTTGTCATTTTCATGTGACCTACCAGCATCAGTTACATTACTTTACTGTCATTCACAAATTCACTTTACTTTCATTCAGACTTTCATTCTCCTCATGGGATAATAAAGTGTCTATCGTATACACACTTCAGAATAGTAGGTCATCATTCAGGTACTTTTTGCCCATGTTAGTACTGCAAATTCAGACATACTTAGTTATGTACTGTTTTTTGCCAATAAATTGTAGAAAGTATGTGATTTCGGGTGCAGCCTTAGTTCTTTTTTATTCTTATTCTTTATTGATGGTTGGTCAACCAGTTTTGGGTGCATTACCGCCACCAACTAAACTGAAGTGTGAAGAATTTATGGGAAATATTTGAATCAAAAACAAAAAAAACTATATTGTTAACTTACTTTTAAGATTACATATTTCATCCGAATTCTCCCACACTTTTTAGACAGAAGACTTTCTATTGACTGTTTTATTTCCAATTCCTGCAGCTTATTTTTTAGTATTTGCCTTTAATTTTTATATGCCATGCAGTATAAGGTTCATCGGTTACAATGTTTTTTGATTTGCCCTCATGGGGCTCACCTGTGTCTTGTTATTTAGTCCCTTGTGTTTCTTGTTTATATAGCCCTCATTTTCAGTTATTGTTGTCAGATCTCATCTCGCTTTTTGCATTGTTCTATTTTTAGCCTGAAGAAGTGTAATTTTGAGTTTATTTTCATTAAAGAAAACTGCTTGCAAATTGATCCATCCTTTTTGCAACCATTTGCTGACGGACCAAAAGAAATGGATCTAGCAGCAGTTCAGATCCTCTTCCTCTAACAGGGGGATCTGTCCCACACAGAGGTTTCTTGATTTGGTCTCCTTCATGTCCCGTATCGGCCTGTGATATCCACTTCTTCGGCCTTGTCTCCATAGACTCCCTTGTCATTATGGCTCCATCTGGCTTCCTTTGTCCCTCATGCTCTGCCTTGGACAGTCATTACTCTGCCTTCGCCACGGGCTTCATGGCTTTCGTCTCCATCTCGACCCTCCATGCCTTCAGTTCTATTGGGCTCCATCCCTCTGTTCTCTGGCTGCCTGGCTCCACCTCTATTCTCTGGCACCATGGTTCCAGCTCTTTTTTTCTGGCACCCTGGCTCCATCTCTATTCTAGATTCTGTTGGCACCCTGGCTTCACCTTTATTTTCTGGCACCCTGGCTCCACCTCTCTATTCTCTGGCTCAGCCTCTGTTCTCTGGCACCCAGGCTCCATCTCTATTCTCTATTCTCTGGCACCCTGGCTGCACCCTGAGTTAGAGTTCTCAATGGGCCTGAAAATTATTACCCGACCCGACCCGGCGTCTATTCATTCCTGTGAAATCACAAACTTAGAAAGATTGACTTACTAGTCCATCAACAAGATCGCCAGGTCAGCATCACCGTTGCATCCAGTGGTGCAACGAGTGAAAAGCCCGACCGAGTGGGACTCTTGTCAGGTTTCTCACGTAGTCACTCTTTTCCATTTCCTAGTCTTCCGACCGTGTTTTCTTTGCTTTTTCCATCGTCTAGTATCATGTCTGAAATGCACGCAACGGCGCAAGGGCAGTGTTGACAACTATTTTCAAAGGAAAGCTAACGCCATGCCTGTTTAAATAAAAATCTTCACACAATAATAAATAAAAAGAACTCAAACAGCCAACCAGCGGGCGGGCTACAAGTTTTGAAACAAAATAGGCCTAGCCTACAAACATTGTCATAAGCTTATAATAGGCATTGTGGAGGAAGATCAGTGCACCCACAGTGGATGACCTCTATTCTCTATTCTCTGGCACCCTGAGTCCACCTCTATTCTCTGGCTCGACGTCTATTCTCTGGCACCCTGGTTTCACCTCGACCACTCAACCCCACAGCTCCGACTTGGTTTCCAAGACTTGGAAACCTACGCCTTGGTTTCCAAGACCACCCATTCTCTGTGGCTCTTCTTGGCTCTCTCTTTTCTTCTGTGGTCTCAGTTTCATTTGTCTTAAGGGCTGTTTACACAAAACTAAAAACGTAAAACTTTGTATGCGTTTTGGCTGTTCGTTTACACAACAATGGCATTTTGGGTGCCTGAAAATGTAAAGTTTTGAAAACGGGTTACAAAGTGCAAATTTTTGAATACAGTGTCCGTGTAAACAACAAAAACGCAAATCTCTAAATATGATCACGTCATGCATATTAAAATATTTAGTCTGTAGTGTTTCATCGACATCTAATGGCCTGGCAGCAGAATATCACGTTTTTAATTGTTTCCTCGGATCCGTGTGAATGGGAATCGTTTTGACAGTAGTGTCGTCTCTAAACAGAAAAAAAATAATAATAATAAATAAATAAATAAAAATCTCTGTTTTAAGCGTGTCGTTGTTGTGTAAACTGACCCACAGGGCATCAGTTACTATGTTACACCTGTGTCTTGTTATTACACCTTATTAAGTCATATATATACAGAGAGTCCTAATTTCTGTTGTTGATTTGAGCATTTTCAATTAGTTCTTCCTTATATTGTGATTTCTCAAACATGCTACACTTTAAGCAAAATATAGCCTACAATGTATACTGCCAACAGTAAAATTAGTCAATTTTAGGGGCGCTCAGGTAGTAGTTTAAATATCTCTGGTTTGTTCAGATCCCTCACAAATACTCTTCCTTCTATCCATTTCTCTTCAACAAGAAAACTTCTCATGGATCCGTATATTTCCAATTTTCTTATATTTACTTTGAGTTTTGAACACATTACTAATAGCATTTACCTCCCTGAACCACCAGGCCATCTCACAAATGTCATTAGAAAGGCTACCAAAAAAATAAATGAAGGCCCTCTACTTTTTTAGCCTTTGTTTACTGACAGAGACACTCACATCTTCTCTGTTCCATATTTGACTGTTTATTCATGCCATATCCATTCACAACTATCAGCCAACTCACTCCACCATGTTCTGGCCAGTCTCTGTAAAAACACCCTAGACCACACATTGCTTTCTTGGTCAGACAGGAAGCAACCAAGTGAGTTAAGAGGAAGTGAACAACCCCCGACTAAGTTACTCGTGCTGCACACTGAACCAGGAAGTGCTTTGGCTCTGATCACGAACACACCCTAAAGCTTCCTCTTTTACACACCACCCTTCCGCTTTCAGAAGGGCTGCCCATAAGCGTCAGCCTTTCTTTAGCAATCGTAATGGCAAATGGTCATTTTGTAACTTAATGCACCTGTTCTCCTCTTAAATTAATGTATAGATATGCTCCCTATCAGTTTTGCCTCATCTAAATGATTTTATTATGATTTTATTTATCGCCAAACATGTCATATTATAAACATGTGTATGTTTCATGCATGTGCAAGTGCTAAGTGCACATGAATGTATGCCTTCCAGCCTTGCCTTTTCCTGTGACTGTTGTCTGTACTTGAGGAAAAGGTGGGTCCACTCCTCTGACCTCAGTCACACACATAGACACACGTTGCTATTTTCAATGAGACTCCCACTTTAACTCTATTGTAATGCTAGAATTACTAGTAAACTACAGCCACACCATCAAAATCTACACACCCCTGGCCCATATGAGAACAAGCTGGAGGACCTTGGGAACCCAGTGTTAGGGTGGTTTTCATAAAAATGTTCTGTGATACTGTCAGGAAAGAAATAGTATAATATATTCCCTGAGAGAAGCAGCATTTGGTGTGGTTTACACTCTTTTATGGACTAGTGAGAGTTTAGTTAACAACTACAACAAAATACATTTATTTGTGCGATGAGAAACTCAGATTTTGAAGATAATTGTCATAATAAAATTATGTTTAAGTGTCACCAAGTCCCTCTTCTAATAAAAATCAAACCAAACATTAAATGCACTTGTATAGCTACTAATCATGTAACAGAGTCCAGTAAGGACTGCTCATGTAGAGTCATAGTGGCTGTTTACATGCCACACATGTACGTCTGCAAGATGTCTGTTAAAGATCACTTCATCTGGAAAGCATCTGCTGTTTACTAACATCTGATACACATCTTTAATATGTCAGTTTAACATACTGTACATTCTAAATCATTACATCTTAAAGACTTCTTTTAAACGTCTATTTGACATCTGACAGGAAACGTCCTATAGACGTATTGCAGATGAGCAAACACTCTAAAAAATAAGTCTTCCAGATGTAAACACATCAAATAGACGTCTGTGATGTAGCCTACGTGTGTGCTATCAGGGTATAGACTGAACACGTAATACGCATAGACTATGCATGACGCCACCGGTTTCACAAATTCACGTTTTTCTAGTTTACACAGAGACAATAACAGTAGCTATACAAAAACTTGCAGTTTTGGGGGCGTTTACACGACAAAAAATGGAATAAAAAACTGA